GAACGTCAGCTCAACTCATATCATTGTGGTAAAATTCTACTACTAGTCCTTCATCACCTTACACAAAATAGGGTGAATACATCTCATTACACTGATTTACTGGTAGTCTCGAAATTCCTTCATCACCTTAGACGAAATAGGGTGAATACATCTCATTACACTGATTTACTGGTAGTCTCGAAACCCTTACTTTCATACGAATATTTAATAAGACATCTCATGATTTTGTTCAACATTCTTTACTTACCTTTAAAGTTTGTTAAAAAATGAAGCGGTCGCAGATGAAGCGTGCAACACATCCAGTTGTGGCTAAATAGTTACATTATCACGCAAATAACTCCTATTTTTGATCCGGCAATCATGACGAATGTGATTGCATTTCATTGCACGTGTGTTATGTATGCACAATGCTTGTGAGAAGAGTGGGGTGTAAAAGTTAAAACCAGAATTGAGGCTAAATCAGCTACCTCTTGCTCAACGGTATTTATTGCTCCTTTTTTTTCTTTAACCACCACAAATATATTCCATTTTATTGCCTACGCTCATTCCTTCTATTCAGGGTTTTCGCTATTTTGCAGATTTCCGTGGACTTCCAAATTTTCACCTAACTGGTATATTCTGCGTATCCAGCTAAGCGTTTGGCTTTGTACCAGTCTATTTGGTGTCTTGCGTGTTCGCCATTCCACTCACCTCCTCAAACGAGACAAAAGATAATATAACATCATTTTATAATGATATTCTTTGAAAACCAGTTTTTCATTTCCTCTTCATTGTCACTCTCTTGAGATCTGCTTTTTAAGCAAATAACCTCTAAAGAAGTTGAATTTATTACTTTCCTTAAATGTTTGTATACGTTGACTGTATATCAAAGTTAGTTCGAAATTCTGTCCTGCTTCTAAGCATGTAAGTCAAGTTACGAAACCATTTGTCCTAACCTCTCGGTCTAGGGTCATTAACGTTTAACCTTATGAGGAAAAGTATGACTGCGTAATTTGGCACGTCTGGTTTGGTTGATGAGCTTAATCTAACATGTTGGACGAGTGTGAGTGAAGTTAGACTCATCATCGAGCAGACAAATTAAGTCGCCTTTTTTGAGGGCGGCTCAATACCCTTTCTCTCTTCCAATCTATCAAACAGGAATAAGTAATTACTACTCAACTTTCTACCACCGTTCCTCACATTCAACGTATTTCATAGCTTATTACTTTCAATAGCCTCTCTTATCTTTCTTTTAAACAAGAACATACCGTAATCAGCAAACCTACTAGTTCAGCCGTTGTAACTCTTTAGTCAAATGTTTGCTATCCGCTAGCCTCATACTTGTAAAAATCATTGATTTCAAAATTCCAATCTTAGTCTTGTAGCTATGGGTAGAAAAATAATTAAGCAAGGAGCCAACATATGTTGGCTTCCTTTAAACATCCCTTCCAAACTTATTCTTCTCACTAATGATGAGAACATCCAGAAAAGGTAAGGATTTATTCTCTTCAATTTTCATCGTGAATCTAATGTTCATTTCACGCTGGTTGAATGAAAGTGGGGAATTATATAAACTGTCCTTACCATGAGTACAGACAATAAAATAGTCATCCCTGTATCGAGCCCACAATTTGGGGGCTAGTATTGCCTCTTGCAGGAAGTGTTCCTCAAGTATTGCCATATAATTGTTCGCTCCTCTTCTGAAAGTGTCTGCTGTTAAATCAATTTCACAAAATCATACGAATTCTTTACTGAATATAGCCAAAAATTGGCAGAGTTTGTTAGTTCCGTGAATGCCCTTGTTTCTCTCTGGAATAGTGAATTTATTTTCCACTTCTCCATTTCACTATTTCTTACGCATGCCTTAAGGGCCTCCTTTAGCCTAGCCTTGAGTCTTTCTGCTAATCTCTCAGTAAAGACTTATACGTGTCATTGTCATTTAAATGAACTCGCAATATTTCCACATAACCTGACTACCACTGCTTCACCTTTTTTGGCTTTCATAACGAGTATATTATTACTACACATATATATAAACTATACTAAGATGACAAGCTCTTTTTGGCTGTATTATATGGTAAAAATGGGGGATCACATCCAGTTCACTACTATTCCTTATCTCTTCAGGCAATCTATCAGATAAGTTAATTAATTCAACAAGTATTACAATAAAATGGTTCACCTCATTTCGAAGATAAAAATTATATCTTTAAATATAAGCCCTACACTATCCTCAAGAGTTGTACTAGTTAAATTACTTATCTTATCCTTCACATTGCTACAACCATGGGTAGCACGACTTACCTTAGGCGCAAAGTTTATATACTTAATTCTAATTTCTATATTCCGGAGCATCTTATCATGTAATCGACGAGTCGTCAGTTGCCTCTTCTAGTTCGCCAGCCATGTCTTGTAACTTAATGAAATCCACATCCGTCAATATTTCATAAACCACACGATACCTAATCAATTTCCCCATTGGTTGACGTGGGTATTTTAAAAATTCTACCGAGTTGACAAAACCTAGGAACAACATAATGTGAAATATAAATGCTTAAAAATATAATTTTAATAAAAGTTATGAAGACTCAGATGGTGTGGCTTTTTGTATGGTCGCAGTCTCCTTTCGTTGTACAGAGGTAGTTTGATCTTGCTTCCGCAACTCGGTCATATTGGCAGGAAGACTTAGAGGAACGAGCCTAGTCCAGAGTCCATTGTGTGCATGATCATTTTCAAAGTCGGACCGTGGACGTGGTACATTTCCAGACGTTTCGCCGGAATCGTCAGTGAGTCTCGCCATTTTTAGCACCTCACAATAACTCGTCAAAAAGACAAGTGAAGCCGATCTTTTGACCAAACGTGTGCTAAACAGTT